AAAGTTCGACAGAATATCAAATCAGCTCTTCCAGATCATCTTTGTGATTTGTCAGTTTGGGCTTATTCTGACGAGGAAGAGGACATGGATGATTTGGTTTTCTACTACTCGCAAGGCGGATCACCTTACAAAACAAAGGTGAATTTCCTTTACATAAATCTCTCTTTACACTCTTTTATCTTTGTTACGTTTTATATGTTCTCCGTTTGATATATATACTGTTAAAGGATGCACATCGGGATGATTTTCCGAAAGTAAATCAAATGTTAGTGGACATTATTTTATGGGCACTAGACAATCCCGCACCATCAACTTTGTTGGTAATCTTGAAAGAAATCTCAGAAGAAACGAAAAGACTTATTCAAGGTTTGGAATCGAAAGGTTACAATATTCATACTGCACAGAGTGAGGAAACCGCATCAGCAGTTCTAAATTGCACTGATAGGTTGGAATGGCCTCCAAAAAGCCTATCTGGTGGAGTAGACCCTATCGACCAAAGCGGAAGCTCACGAGGTGTCAAGCGAAACATCATGGTATAGTCGATTTAATTGATCTAACATAGTTACTTAATGGTTAATCAATTGTATTGACAATCTAGTTTTTGTTTCTTTTCGTATCATAATTGCTTATGCGTTCTCCATTTTGTGAAACCTTGCAAAGGCTTGTTTTACTACAAGCGTCTTCTGGTACATCGAGGACTGCCCAGTCCCTTGTGGTTTTGATCCTCGTATGTTTCTTGAGCTTATCAAATCAGCTATTGTGAATCATGGTTATCACGGTGAGGTGTCAATCTCGGCTTATTTGAGAAGAATAGGAGCCTCGATGACTTCTCCGTCGCTGATGATATCACCTTGGTACCCACAGGTGAAATTCCTTCATTTAAACACAAACTGTTCATCGTTCATCGTAATTTTGGTATCGATCAAAGCTATTTTGTATCTGGTTTTTATCATTAATCTAAGCAATATTCAGTTTTGCCGTATCGTAGAAATTGTGTTCCTACAATAACCATGATTCGAAAGAGCTGATTTGGTGTTTTCAAAAATGTTACGAGGATCGAGACCATAGGGGATTGGACAGTCCTCGATGTTCCAGAACACCCCTGTCTTATTAGACGCTGTCCACAAAACAGAGAAATGCAATTAGGGTTACAGAACAAGAGGAAATGTAAATTAGGGTTAGATCTCTAGTGCTAAATCTAGGAGAAAATTACTAAACAAAAGGCAAAACAGAACAAGGACAATTACGATGTCGAATACGATAAACGAATCAAATCACGTAATTGCAATAAGAAATTTGGAGCAAGAGATTACTGCTGGATTCTTTGGTCATGTGGATTCCATGGGAATTTTAGAACTCAAATACGAATGTAAAATCAATCAACTTCCGTTGCAAAAACTATCTATGACTAGATCCCTAAATTTCAAATTTCTTTGCAAATCTAGTGAATCAAGACAAGCATTAACGTTCAGATTCAATTGTTCACAAAATTACTAAGCC